TCAAAGACAAGTTGGTGTCATATTCACCTGTTCCCGGTCCAGCTGCCGGGCCACTTTGAGCTCGCCTCGTATGGGGTCGATGATGAAGGGGCTGCCGCCGTTGCCGTCCATGACGGCGTAGCGCACGCGGTTGTACGACGGCCCGTCTGCATCCTCGGCCATCACCTGAGAATCAAAACAAAAGCGCAGCGTTCACATCCGGCATCCGATGCTTTGGTCTAAATGGATTTATTGTATTTATACATCGCATCATTTCCTGTCAAACAGCCTTGAAACGGGAAGCGTCCATTCTTTGAAGCTGGTCTCACCGTCAAGACAGTCTTGCCCAGCTCGGCGTCTTCGCCGACGACGGCGGCGTAGACGCGCTGGCTGAAGACGGGCGCGTTGTCGTTGACGTCGGTCACGTTGATGTTGACAGTGGCCATGTCGCTGAGGGGCGGCGAGCCCCCATCGGTGGCCTCCACAGTGATGTAGAACTCGTGAGACAACTCGTAGTCCAGCGGCGCGATCACAAAGATGTCGCCTGAGGAACGCAGGATAACATTTTTTGACGATCAGCTGTCAATCACGGCAGCCCTTCACGCCTCGTGACCATTTTCACACAATTTAGAGTCGCGAATGAACAGAACGTATGAATTTGGGTCAGAGACAATGTAGAATCTTCAATGAAGCTCGCGTACGAGTTCATGTAAACCTCAAAGACCACATAGTATTTGGGATTATTTTTTCCAGATTTTTTTTCTCTAGAGACATATGTTTTAATATTTTTACATGTTCTCTCAATTTTGTACCCCTCCCCCCCAGATTTGCATTGAAATGGGACAGTACATTTCCTTTTAAACGGTAGGAATTATTTGTTTTCAAACATGCCGCCATGTAGTGGCTGACAGTTGAATTACACCCAAAATAAATAGGAGGCAAAACTAACAGAGGTGTAAATCATAGAAAAAATAATCTGTGAAATTGTGTGACTACAACTCCAGAATTAGTTTGGTCCCATACCCGTGCTCGGATCCACGCTGAATGCCCCGTGCTCGTTTCCGCTGACGATGCTATATGCGATCTCCCCGCTGGCCTCCACGTCTCGGCTGGCGGCCTGGACCCTGAGCACTTGTCCGCCCACAGCCGCGTCCTCGGGCACGGCGGCGGCGTACTCTCGCCGTTCGAACACGGGCGGGTTGTCGTTGATGTCCAGCACAGAGACCAGCACGCGGCACGTCGCCCACAGGCGTGGCGAGCCGCGATCGGCTGCGCGGGCCTCCAGCTCGTACAGGGCGCGCGCCTCGCGGTCCAGCGGTCGTTCTAGGCTGATGATGCCGCTCAGTTCGTCGATGGCGAACCAGCCGTCGGCAGAATCCAGCAGCGAGTAGACCACGTCGCCATTTAGACCTGGCAGCCCCCCCGAAAGACATACTCAACACACCGCCAACTTTGACAATAATGTGACATTTTCACAGTCTAATGGGAAGAGAGAGAATAATCGCTCACCGCTGTCGGCGTCGTCGGCCTGCAGCTTAGCCACGAAGGTTCCCGTCTCGGTGTTCTCGAAGACGGTGATGGCGTACGGGTCGGCGGCGAACTCGGGTGCGTTGTCGTTGACGTCACGCACGGACACGTGCACGTTGGCCTCGCAGAAGCGCCCGGCGCCATCCACCGCTCGCACTTTGAAGCGGTACTCGTCGCACTCCTCGCGGTCCAGGGGCTTCAGTGTCTTCAGTTCACCTGAAAGTGACAACGGGACACGTTAAGGACGCACTTTTGGTCTTCAAAAAAAGAAACGTTTTACAAATCAAAAAGGTCCTCAATAATGAATATTATGTACTCATGACTTTTTGAAATACAATCAAAGGGGATAAACGTTAAAATTTAGCGATTTTGGATTGCTAGCATCTCGTAAGCTTTAGTTAGTGAAAAAGCTTGAATAGACTGAGCCAGAGTTAGTCCGGTTATTCATGCTGTATGGACAAAGGTCATCTAATATATGCATGAATTCAGAAAGAAAAAAAACACCACCTAATTATGTACATTTTCCAGCACCTTGCGATGCAAAAAGCACCCAAAGCATGTAATTAAGCCAGATGGGTACACAATGCCAAAGAGTGCGCTGACACAGTAAAAGGGAACATTAGTGCCTCTTATAGCAGATTTTCTCCATCTCGTACGCTATGATTTATACATTAACGGCAACTTTATGATGACCCTCCTGGGCGGCAGAGCTAAATGTAGGGGGCTTGATGTCTTATAGTCGAAATGTGCTTTCATGCTTTTAACTTCATTTTGAAGAGGAAAAAAAAAAA